GTTGTATCTTGTCGAGTTATAGTTTCTCATGTTGTGTGCATTTTAGATAGACAACATCGGCGTCTTTTATAATCGGTCGGATGAAAGATAAATAGATGATTTCGAGAGGTCTACAGGCAAGCTGAAGCTTCAATTTTCTCATAATTAATATCCTCTTCCAGGCCCAGTCGGTAATATATATACTTATGTGACAATGCCACGTGCAATTTTCTGAAAGTTAGAAATCATGATATTTGTGACTGTTGACAGTGTCTTTATGTTTGCTAAGAAGTATGCATTGAAATTTACTACCAGAAGCAACTTGCCGGAAAAGTTTTTAAAAATACTTCCTACATGTTTTTCAAAGTCAGTATCGCGCTGTTGTAAAGTTGAGATTAGACTACCAACGTTCCTGGACTAACAACGTTCATGTTATTTATTAATGTTTTTTGTTTGCTTATCTGTTTACGCCGATTTTAACAGATGTGTTGATCATATCTTAGCTGTCGATCCACCTAACCAAATTTCCTTGATAACCAGTATATAATTACCAGTAATAACCAGTAGTAACCAATTTCTCTACAAGCAACCGGCTACTCATTTCACATGGTTTCTAAATCAGAATTGAGAGACAAATGACTAGTAGGTTTAATGTCCTAGCTTGCCCACTCACAGAATATTTAAATATTTGAATATATAAAGATTCGACATACTTCTATGTTTTCTTCATATTCTTGACATTAATGTCTTCATACTTGCTACTATTTCCTCTTTATTACAGTTAGCATTGGTGTTGATGTTTTTGTTGTTATTTAAGATCTTTTTCTTGTCATTTCAATAATAATTGATAAATCTTCTTCACTTCCTTCAACTAAACTTTGTTTACTTTTTTATTTTCTTGACAGTTTATTTTTTCGGATTATTTTAAGAAGTCTGATACAGTTCACATTAATGCTGTCCACAAAATACACACGATGATAAAATGTTTGTTTTTGTACATTTTCTTACGTTTTCCATATTCTAAGGATGCCTATTTCACATGCTCATATAAGTAGAAATTGAAGAAAAATATCTTATCACGGTCTTTGAAATATGTTTTGTGAGAGCATCAAAACACGAGGCTGACTGATTTGTGTGAGGGACGTAGCAGCCGAGTGGAATTCATATTGCCGAGTGTTTTGATGTTTTTTTTCTCTTTTATTCCTTTGTATCATAGCCAGAAATAAAACACTAAATTACCGTCGTCACAATATGTTATCCCCTAGAAGAATTAACAAATGTAAAAGCCCTTTCCCTGTCGTCACGAAAAGTTAACTCTAGAAAAAGTGTAACGGGCATGCTCTATTTAAGTGACATATTGTGCTTGTTTTTCATGGTCAAAATATGAAAAACAAGATCAACAAGGAAAGGCGGCGTTCAATGAACGCAACCCCCATATGACCCAGCAACAAGAACCAATGGCAAGTTGAGCTGAATTGACTAAGAAATATATTTTAAAAGATTAACTGTTATAATGGTTATTGACCAGATGAAAAAATGTTTAGAATGAAGTATAAATCTGCATTAAATATACAAAGACTGTCCCACTCGTTTTATGAATTGCACGTAACAGGTAAATTCCGATTGATATTAACAGAAATGACCTTGGGCCACGTGAGTTATTTATCGTTCATTCGAAATAAACTATAAATTTTGAAAAGAATAGTGAAAAAAATGTAAACTTATTTTGACATTAATCTGTTCACTTAATATATACCATTAGGGTGGGGCGTCCGTAGCCGAGTGGTTCAGGTCGTTGACTTCAAACCACTTGCCCCTTACCGCTGTAGGTTCGAATGCCGACAGGGACTTTGAATTCTTTCATGAGATGAAGCTGTCAACGTCGGTTTGTGCAGTCGGCCGAATGTGTGTGCAGTCTTGTTGGAAGTGCGCCCATTCTGGCGGAATGTGTTTGCAGTCTTGCTGGAAGTGTGCCCATTCTTGCGGAATGTGTGTTCAGTCTTGCTTGAAGAGTGCCCATTCTGGTCGGATGTGTATGCAGTCTTCCTGGAAGTGTGCCCATTTTGGCGGAATGTGTTTTCAGTCTTGCTGAATGTGTGCCCATTCTGGTCGCCGGATGTGATTGCAGTCTTGCTGGAAGTATGCCCATTCTGGCGGAATGTGTGTGCAGTCTTGCTGGAAATGTACCCACTTTGGCGGAATGTGTGTTCAGTCTTGCTGGAAATGTGCCCGTTCTGGCCGGATGTGCATGCATTCTGACGTGGCTCTTTATTGGTGGAAAAGAGTGATCACTATCCAGCTTTTTTATTGTTTAATAAAATTGAAATTACTCGAATAGCATTGTCTTTATAAAGGCCAAGGCGATTTTATGAGTCTATCCGGATTAAAGTGAAAAAGTAAGACTAAAACACGTATTCCTAAATACCGTATTCCGGTATATCTTGAGTGATTGAATGCTTAAAACTCGCATTTTCATCCACCGAAATACACTTTAAAATTCTTTAATTCATTTTTTCACAACAATTAATTTTTTTAATTGATAAAATCGACAAAACGTGCTATTTTTCTACCTTGTGATCATGATTACTGCAAGCGTCTTCCAACATTGTGTTGTGAGTTAAATCGTGCTTTAAAATCTATTACGTGTAGTCGGTATTTAAAGACGTTGTTTCTAGCTTCAAAGAAATGAAAACTTTGTAATTAAATAAAACATGTACTTTCAAAATGTGATATGAATGGAATGTTCTACTAGTCAACAATACTTTCCACACTGGGTTTAAGGCGATTCTTATTTTTATTTATTCTATTCATTTTCTTTTTTTGGGTCTTCCCATATACTTCGAATAAGGACACTTCTCTTGATTTCCATGTGTCATGTTATCGCAAAAAGACAATATTAAATACAAAATGATAATCTATTACGTTGGTACCGACTAAACTGTTGCAAAAGTCATAATTTTCCAAAAACAAATTCTTACTATAAACAAATACAGAACAATTGTAACAGTTAATACATTAATTTATTTTTTATTTTTTGTCTAACATATAAACAGTCCTAAAACATACAAACATTTGATATAATTAACATTTTGGAGATGTCATCGATTGAGTCCTTTTTAGTAGTTAACTTCAAACTACTTGTCCCCTACCACTGTGGGCTCGAATCCCCACTAGTAAAGTTGGAATGACGTCATATGACCTTCATAATGTTGATGTAAAGTAAAACCCAAACGTATAAGTAAGAAGGATCAGGCATTGTTTTTTATAATTTGCTTTTAACCTTATTTTGACAGATGTTTATTCTATTACCAGCTTGTTTTTCATCGTTTGGCATATACCTCATTTTGCTGACACCACTTGCCATCTCAAAAATGTCTTAGTTAGCTTGATCCAATTTTCTCTAAAGCCAGCTTCTGTTTGTTTGTTTGTTTGTTTGTTTGTAGAGCCTGTTTGTCAAGGTGCTTACGGAACAACTAAACTTAATTTATATTGTCCCATCAGTAATCAGCTTATATCATGAATATTTCATACACTTATTAAGGATTTCATTCTTTTTTACGATGAATGCAATAAAATAATGTATTACCGTACTAATTAATACTAACATTTTATTTACTATTATGCACATAAAACATATTTATAGTAATTCTGTTTTCATATAAAGAAAAGAATATTGCCATTTCATCAGAACAGTATCCAGGTGCAGTTTTGTCAATGGACAAGAAGTCTTGAATTTACATTTTCCTATTTAGTTGAATATATCCTTATGCATATAGTCACAAAATTTCATATTAAGATTATAGTAAACTAGTCTCGATATCTATTTATTTTGGTCATATAATGAAAACAACATAGATTTTGTCATTTTGGAGAAGAAGTCTTGATAACCGCCGTATGAACACATATGCGGATGTTTCTAAATTCAAAATTTCACCATCTCATATTTAAATGTTAAATTCTGCTTAAGCCGATGCTAGGGGGCGTGGACCGTAACTTGCACTTTCTAGTACCGTCCATGAACAGGCTCAATCAAACCGAGCCTGCAGCATTTTCAATTCTGTTGTGTTGGACTTTCTTTAGGAATTCTTATTTTCTCTATTGAATTTACATTTTCCTATTAAGTTGAATATATCCATAAGCATATAGTCACAAAATTTCATATTAAGATTAAACATGTAGTAAACTAGTCTCGATATCTATTTATTTTGGTCATAAACTTTAATGTAATAAATGAAAACAACTATAGGTAATATCATCTTTACTTTAGTTATTAAACATCTATATTATGATGCATTGTCTTTCAAAATGCCCTCCTTAATCTATCTGAATACATGCACACCTTTTCAGTAGGTCAATCCACTTTTGGAAGTAGTTTGCGACTTTTCAGTGATACTGATAAACCGGAGATATAGGGGCATTTCTGAAACGTCTCTCCTTTCAAATGGATGAATAGAGAAAAAAAATTGCAAAAAGGCCATGTCTGGCGTAAAAAAGATATCGTAAGGATAAAAAAGTAAAGTAAGGATCGTTAAAGTCTTCAAGACTCCAAAAACTCGGTGACAGCCTGTGCCTTGTGAGCAGGCTTACACTATCATGCAATTAAGAAGTCCTGTTATTTGGAGTTGGATTTGTAGTGTTTCTTTCGTAACATAACATAGTAGATAGGCTTTTATGAAAACAAATTATCTTATAATCATTGATTTTTCTCATTTTAACGAAGAATGAACGAAGAAACAACAATCTCTAATGAACTGACTAACTATGCGAAGTGAAATGTGGAAACACTGGAGGTCGCCTAACAAAGCATTATATTGTTTGAGTCAACCTGTTCTTGTCAGCAGTGCTTTATGCAAGCTACTGTTGACAATCGCAAGCAGAGTTCAACATCTAAGTAAGCAAATGGTGTACTTTAGGAATTTAGACTAACATCTGCAGATGTGTGTAATCATGTAATATACAATAATGACACATTATGACACCATTGATAGCACGTTTAGTATAAATGAAATGTATAAATGCATCTCTTATCATTGCTTATCTTTCAAGGGATCTACTGCCAGTAAAATCGGAAAGGTGGACAGTACACCGATTCTCATTTGACGCAATGTTTAAAGTTATTATCTTAATTCTAACAGTTGGGACTGTAAAAGCTGGTATTCTTTTAACTTATAAACTTATTTATTCATAGAAGCTTTCTTGTTATTCATTACCTAAGCTTTCAATGTATTTTGACAGTATTGGTAAAACGCATTTCGGTGCGTTTTTTCATGTTTAACAAAATGATTTGTCATTTGCACGATCACCCGTTTCTTGCTATTGTTTCATGCTAAAAACATCCCATTTTCATTCAATCATTCAATCAATTCATGACTTTTGAATCTTACGATTTCCCTGCACCTTTTTTTAGCCAACCGCTAGCAATGTTGCAGTACGATGGTCGGACCAACATTAGAGAGGTGATGATCGATATTCTTGAAACAACCTCTTCATGCCTAACCTCTCCACAGTCTTGAAAATGATTGCTTGTGGCATCCAATTACATATCAAATTGAAGTTAACGAATCTCATTTAAAGCATAAAATCATTAAAATATAGGTATATTTAAACTTTGTATGCTTTTAGAATATGAAGTCAGGAACAAATTAAATGAAAAAAGGGGGTCACGGAACTCATTTTCGGGATATCTTTCTTTTTTAAGCGACAAGGGCAGACAATTCACAATAAATGTTAACAAAGTCTTATTAGTAACTGTCTTCGAGTGATTGTGAAAAACATTTGAAAATAAAAAAGATTAGTTTCTTTGATCTTACTTCTTTACATACACCTTGATCAACTTTCTTTAGAAAAAACGGTCTCATTTAAAACAGTTTTAAATCCGTACAACTGAAAAAGGGTAAGGCGAAACATTAATGTTAAATAGAATTTCATGCAATTTGGTATATTGACCAAAGATTAAAAACTTGTCAGAATTATGTATAAGTTATCTGCCCTTGGAATGACCTTAAATAACAAAAATGATTAAGTTCAAAATCAGACAAGACGTGACCAGATGTTTCAGCTTCAAATGTTTCTGTTATCATAATCTAAGATTCAGCTTTCATTTATCTATATGTATACTAGTATTTGAGACGATTTTAAAATTCCTGATTTTAAAATCATCGACGATCCGAGCGCCTTATTACTTAGTGATGTTAACATGTTTCCGGCTAAACTAATACAAAAATATAATTAAATTTGAGGGTTTCCTTATTTTCCATGTTTTCTTCCCTATCAAGATGTTAGTGTAAAAAGCGGGCATTTTATATTGTTAAGTCAATACTAATTCTGTTCGACTTGTACACAAAGTGATAGCTACAAAACCTATGTTAGAGTTGACCTAAACTGGCCTGATATTCATTTGTTCTCAATAATCTATAATAACCTATTGTATTTATGCTTTGGGTTAATTACCGGTTATAATAAAATTATTAGATTGGCTTAGAATTAACTTCTATTTTATTACCAACAGGCTTATCAGCAGGATGTCCAGACGGATGGCTTACACACGGAGGTATGTGCTACCTGTTTAGTCATGGCCGAGAGGACTGGCCCGGATCCTATGTAAGTAAAACACATACAGTAACTGTACTAAACATATCTCTATCAAAATAAAAAGAAAACAACAATGTTTCTGTTACCGGTACGTCACGTTGCAATAAATCACGTAAAATCTTGTTCAAACAATTATTTTTAAAGACATTCCCATAAATAAGAAAGGTCTCCACTAGAATATCTGACAGAATTGTCACTGGTGACTTCAACTCAAATGACTCTAACCCAGAGATCATGGACTATTCCTAAGCCAAAATCATTGCCTTATATATTCTCGATTTCTCTCCTTTAAACAGTTAGCATGGCTGGACGATTAAGAATTTTATCTCTCAGAAAGAGCACCAGTGGAAAACTGATGATATCAATAGTTATCCACTTTATCTGACACAATTCTTAAACTGTACAAGTCATTTGCATACTACAACGTGACAAAAATGTTAATCCAAACGATACTCCAGGAGTCACAACATTTAGAGTTAAAACAAATATACACAAGGCAATCTGAAGGACAGCTAAATCCCCTTCCGCAGCGGACATGGATGAGTATTTTTTTTACCTTTAACCAACCATGACCTTGATGTTGTGCCAAGCACATTATTAGCATATAGTCTCATGAAAGTATTTTTGTGCTAAGTTATTTAAAATCTTTCATCAAGTCAAAAGGTTATGAAAATATTTGACCTTGACCTTGGTGGTAGCAAACTGGATGTTGGGTTTTGCACATCGTGTCATAATGATGATAATTTCTGCGAAGTTATTTTAAAAACATTCAAGCGGTTTAAATGTTAAGGAGCGGACACGAAATGTTGAATTTTAACACTTGATCTTTAAGTGTGACCTTGACCTTGTGGGAAGCAACCTATTTATTGCGCTATGCACAAAATGGTGATCACTTGTGTCAAGTTATTTCAATATTTCATAGGTTAAGAAGTTATGGAGCGGACACAAAAGTGTTACGGACGGACGGACGGAAGTGCCAACATTTGGGGTGTAGTCGTATGTGCTTTTTCTTTAATGTTTATTTGGCACTTTTCCACATAAACCATTAAATTTATCACATACATCAGTCGGTTTATGAGATTTCCTTCTTGTTGGCGGGACCAGTCCTATAATACCCTCCCCACTTTGCGGAAGGGGATTAATATAAATATTGCTACAGAACAATTACTCCAAGAGTTCACCTCGCTATAAAAATCACGCAAGACCGTAACGTATTAGTCACACATATACGCACGGCTAACCATGCACAATTGCTACATGCATAACAGAATTTTTAAGTCAGATTCCACCACACTGAAGGGTTAGTCTAAAACTTAAAGTTTGAATCTCTCTTGCTAGTAGAAAGACATTCATCCACTAAACAACTGTCAACAAAGAGATTGTTTTCTACTTAAGACATATAACACGGAAAGGCGGCATTCACTGAATGCAGACCCAACAAAACGCGGCAACACCAAACATAGCCAAGGAACAAAGCAAGGTACCAACTAAATGCAGGAGTTGGCAAAAAAACAAAGCGAAGACTAAACGATGTAAAAGTAAGCAATGAAGTTTTACAACAAAATTAAGAATTCAACACTTAATAATGCATAGAATTAAAAGGCTGACAGGTATGACATCAAATAATAAACTAGGACACAACGAATGTCACCTAAATAAATAAAACACAAGACATGCATTTTTAGGAACCCAAAGTGTCACTGCTTTGGAACGGTCAGGAGAGCAAGAACATTACTAAGGAATTTAAACCTCATTTTTAGCTTCAAAATGTTCATATGAAACGAGACTGTAGCAATTAAATGATTCCCTTCCAAGCGAAATTCTAACAGTTGCTATGGTCATAATAGGTTAAATAAATAAAATACTGAAATGCTCTTGTAAATATATAGAAGGAAACCTTAATGGCTATAACAAAAATACTCAATGCCTTGACTGAGGTAGAACAACAAAATATTACAAACTAGATATCGACAAAGCAAAGCAAAGGACACAAATTAAGACAATTAAGTTCTGAAGGGTTTTGGGGACTGCCCGTCAGATGTAATCAAAGGAGGAAAAGGTAGAGGAAAGCAAAGCCAAAATTTGATCCTTTAATAACTTCTTTTGCAGAAATTCTTCGCTAAACAACTCTGATAAGGAACTTCCCGATAACCAGTACTATTCATTACACATCAAGATGTTCAAGACCCGCCTTCGGTCACTAAGACAATACATTATATTGTAATAGAGTCAGTAACCGCATCTTGCGCTTCTTCAGGTGTTATATTCCAACATGTCCCTGTTACATCAGTATCTTTAAAGTAGTAAAATAGTAGTTAATTACCATTGATATTGAAAATACCAATTGTTTGTGCCGCAATCCATCTGTACCTTATGCCGAGGAAGATTTTGAGGGGCTATTTTAAATATCTTAAAGTATTTGTTAATCTTTCTTTAGACAACGACTTTCTTTCTTCTACAAATCAGGTTTCAGACGAGGCAATGCAACAGTAAATCAACAAATGTACTTGTTTAACATATTCAACAATGCTATGGATGACACAATTGAAGTTAGAAAATTCTTTGAGAGCTTTAATTAAGGAGTTCGATTACTGTGCTACAAGGGGTAACTTTATAAGAAGAAAGCATTTTGAGTAGATGATTATTAAAATGAATTTCCGATTATATTTTTAACAGTCACCCGAGTCGCCCACTCAATTTGATAGTTAAGTTCTTTGTTCTATCGGTTGTTATTCTTAGTTTTCATCTATGATTTTTTGCTGAAAATGCTTAATTACTTATTGGCGAAATTCTTTACCATGCTATTGTGACGTAGATTATAGTTTGGCGGCCGAGACATGGTAACCGTTGAAAATCTGGGAAAGTGATCCCCCAAAGCATGAAAACAGCAAAATCACATGAAAAGACTCGGTTTGATTGAGTCTGTTGATGAGGGATAATGAAAAAGTGCAACATTCCTCATAACAACACTGATGTGAGGTACGGGACAATTATTAACGGCCGCCACACATCACTTAACATCAGCTGTTGTGAAGTTTAAAAATCTGGAAAAGTGGTATTCCCTCGGAAGCATTAATCACAACAAAATTACATGAAAATTGAAGACTCGCTTTGATTGAGTCGGTACATTAGGGATAATGAAAATGTGCTGGAGTCAATGATTTCGAAGGACTAGAAAAATATAACAACACAGAAGTGAAGTACGAGGCACCTTTTTTAAAGTTGATTTCATTGTATAAAACAAATGCATGTATATTTCTAGAAAATTACGTATACTTATATATAGAATGGCTACAAGGGAAATGCCATTATAAGCTTAGCTTACAGTCAATAATTCATGATTATTTGTACATGTATTTGTATTCGTTCGTGTGAATTGTTTGAAATTAACTTTATATAGACTATACAGTTGGTGTGTATGTGTGTTTTTAAATCGAGGTTAAAATTGTTGAGTGAATTTTCCCTATTGACAAGACATGCCAAACTACTGAAGTAACAATGGAATTTAATTAGTGATAATTAAAAAATCGTATACTTTGTAAGAGCCATTATAGTCGAGTCTTCATAGATACATTTCAGAAAAGCTTCATTTTAGCGTTACCTGTTTGATACTTTTCAGTGCTACAAAATGTTCGAATTCGAAATGAAAGAACATTTAATAGGCTACTTTCTATTCTCTCTATAGGAAATGTGCAAAATAATGGGAGGACAGCTTGTTGAAATTGAGAGTGCAGCCGAAAATAATTACATCGAATTACAAGCAAAACCTAGCAGTAAGTTTTTTTTTTCACCAATAAATTAGTTCATTATAGACAGTTTATGGCCTGGTTCTTTGTTCTCTGTAACTTACCTTACGTGAAATAATAACTAGAGCTATCACTAAGGTCAATATAAAACCCCCATCAGAGACTTACGCTTTTTAAAAAATAAGTGGTTTGAAGAAAGATTTGAACTCAGCCTATAATTAATGAAGTTTCAACTGTGTACAAAGAATTATTTCAATAACAATGTAATTGCAAACATGACCATGATCTTCATATAAACTTACTTTATACTAAATTTAAGTGTAATACTCGTATCTCATTCCTAACTCTAGTAATTGTCCGGAAATGATTTATTCTTTTTGTAATAGCAGTTACTTTGACCCCAGGGGTTGCAAATGCAATACCAGATCTCAACCTATAATTTATGAAGTTTAAACTGTGCACAAAGATAAATTTAAATTGATTGCAATCCCAACTAGGGTCTTCATATAAGCTTTATACTTGATTTTATTATGATATTTCATTCCTAATTTATTGTCCGAAAACCATATTTCTATTTTTAAATCGTAACAATGACCCTTGACCAAAAGGGGTCCAAATGCAATCCCAACCACATAAGATTGCTAAATACCAAGTTTGATTAAACTCATTCTTAACTTATGTTATCATCCTTTTTTTAGAAACAGTGACCTAGACCCCTAAGTGTATTCAAGCAATAATAACCGGATCTTCATGTAAGTTTGATATATACCATGTAATAAAATATGGTAAACAAGATCAACAAGGAAAGGTTGCGTTCAGTGAACGCAACCTCACACGACCCAGCAACAAGGACCAGCGGCCAGGGGCCCAGGAGTACAAAGTTTGATTACAATATCTTATTTCAAACTCTAGTCTGGAAACTATTTTTTATATTTTAGTAATGGTGTCATTGATTTTAACCCCAGTGTGTCATAAAGCAATACCGACTGGGGTATTCACATAGGCTTGTTGTATCAAGTTTAATTACAATATCACATTCCAAACTCTAGTTATTGTCCGAAGATCATTTTTCTAATTTTAGTAACAGAGACCTTGACCCCAGGGAGTCCAAAGTCAATACCAACCGGGTCTCAAAATAATATACCAAGTTTACTTATAATACCTCATTCCAAACTAAACTTATAGTCCGGAAACAATGAATGAGAACGACCGACGCATCGATTGACTGACAAGCTAACTCCTATACCGCCTTGTTTGTGGGTTATGATTAAAAACTATTTTTATATCATGAACAAAAAGTAAATTGGTTTGTTTTATCATATTTATTGAAGATTATTGGATTGGTTTGAGTGACGACAGTGAGGAAGGAAGTTGGGTCTGGATGTCTTCTCAAACGCCTTTAGCCGCTACATATTATACAAACTGGTTTAGAAACGAACCCAGTCGATTTATAGATGGGGAGCCTGAAAATTGCGTTGAAATGTATACGCACCTTGGAGGTGAATGGAATGACGCTCCTTGCACAAATTTCAAAAACTATATTTGCGAAAAGGCTCTTGGGTGAGTATTGTGTATGTGTACGTCTGAATATAAAAATGAGAAATGTGTTTTTTCTATTCACATAATAGTTTATCTGTTTCTTTGCAACTCTGATTATATTTATCAGTTACAATGAAATTATTGTTCAAGATGCTTACAAGAGTTTTACTAAATGTTCATATGCTTCTTAATAATTATGATACTTATTAGAGTAATAATGAATAATTTAATGATAAACTTTTTATAACAATTGTCCGTTTCCTTCGTAACATTAACACAATTATATATGCATACTTAATATCAAACATGCAGGTCACTTACTCAGTTTGAAAAGATTGTATTCAATTAACTTTAAATATCCTTATTTATATCTTTTGATATGTTAGTTGATTGAATAATATTCACCGAATTTTATATTTTTCAGAAGTTCCGTAATTATTGGTTAAAAGCAAGCATATCCGAAGTACAAAAGCTCAACTAGTTCCACATGTCAACTCATATACTTGTTTCTGTATATTTTTGAAAGACAAACATACTAGTATATGACTTCATATTGTTTTTTTCTGCATGCAGTTTGAGATATTAAATTCCAAAATATATTAGCGAAATAAAACCCTTTATTGCTTAAAAGAGAAAATCTTACAGTAGATTCATTTTGTAGAAGAAAATGCATAATGTTGTAGAAAATGTTAAAAAGGTCTAGAATGAACCTATCTATCCGACAAATGAAAAGATACCAAAAATGATTATGAAAAAAACATAGCAGCACACCTTCAAATTTGCGTCAATTTCTATTAAGACTCAGAAAAGATTGTTCCAGTTATTACAATGATATCACCTGAACTTTACAGTGATTTAGACTAGCCGAATGCACTTTCTTTCCACAGATTTATGTTATAGTTTATCAACATAAGCAGAAACTTCTCTTTATCCGTTAGTAACGGCGTAGAATATTGCTTAAGAAAAGTGTGCATTGCTAGTTTGCTGTATTTTGTAAAATCACCCAAAATTTCAACTGGATTGTAAATATGAATACATTTCTTAGTTTAAACATTTTATTTCAGTAAATATACAAATAATATAAATAAGTAATGTACACGATACGAGAATTAAAAA